AATTAAATATATTATTTATTTTATATTTAATATAATTTTTTTGATAATTTTTTAATTATTAAGTTTTTAATCGAACAAAAAAAGGATATATTTTTATTTTATTTATTTAAAATATTTTTTTAAATTATATTATATTTATTATAATTTTAATTAAATATTTATTTATTAATATATTATGTTTATTTTTATATTTTTTTTTATTTCTTAATTTTTTTTATAAATATTTTTATGATATTTTTATATTACTTTTGTTTAAAGTGTTAAATAGATATTAATTTTTTTTAGTCTCAATTTTTGTACAATTTAATTTATCTTTATAAATTTTATTTAATTCATTCATTATTCGTTTAAAAAAACAAACGTAATTTACACTTTTAATGTAAATTATAATTTTTATTTTTTATAGCTAAAAATAATTTTTTTTTTTTTTTTTATATGTTATTAATCGTCTAAAAATTTTATATTGGAATCCGGAATTCGTTTTATTATAAAAATTTTAAAATTAAATTTTTTTTTTTAACCATTTGATTTAATTTTTTAAAACTTAACCGGGCACGAGTGCCACACAGGCGCCTGCCTCTCCTGACCCTGCTGACCCAGCGCTGAGCATAGTGTGCCGTTGTTTACAAGACCTGTAGATTATCACCTCTATGTTCCCGAGACACAGTGTCTATAGTGCCTTGTAAAACATTAAAGGCCTATCCCCTCCATGGGATCAACACCACACTCTGTAGCTTCAATGGAATGTGGAGCTCCCTTGAACTACCATTCCATCTACCATACAACCAGTGGAAAACCATTTCCATGGTGTATAATGGTCTCTTTGGGTCAGGATTACCTTTAAAATATACTACTATAAGTCTGGCCGTTGACATGCTCCCCCACTGAAATCACACGTCCTCGGGTGACCTATGATTTCCTGAGAAAACCACCAATCGGTCTTAGTAGGAGGCTGTCAGAACTTATAAAGTAGTATCCGTTGACATATAGTCCCCTAGGTCTACGTGCATACGGTGAGTGGGAGAGAGGTTGCAGAGCTGGGCCAACCAATGACTCAATCGCCCTTGACAATGATAACCTCTTATCTCTCTCCTGCCTCAACCGCTTCCAGAGATATAAGGTAAAGCAAAGGCTAATAATAATCAAAATAGGTCCCAAGATTACCCCAACCCATGAGTTAACCTGAGTAACATAATGATGATCTGTCCGACCAAACAGAACAGCATTATCCTGGTCTATGGAGGCAATTGCCTTCACAAGGCCATTTATTGATGCATTAACCTTATCCAAATTTGCTTTTGACTGATTAAAATGATCATGAACTACCCTTAGATCTCTGGACAAGATGGGTTCCATAACATCTTGTAATACTTTATCATACTCCGAGAAATTAGTGTGGACTGAGGTAAAGTCATAACCAGTGGATACACTTTCCCTTCGACTATAAACTGTTATTCCCTTGTTTATAACAAGTGCACAGTCTCCGGAAAATGCAAATACCCTGTTCCTTTGAGCTCTATGGTACGTCTACTACCGCTTGAACATTTTAACAATGCTGGTGTAGTCCTGTTAACAGAATAAAGTAGATCACCGAGATCATTATAGACCTTAAAGATTGGCGTGAACCCTTTCACCCATTCTGTCTTGCATACATTAGGGATACCATTGCTTCCCCCTGGAAGTCTTTCTAACATACATACACACGATTCAGTCACACTGATCGGCGATGTTAAAGCTCTGGGACACAAAATGAATTCCTTTGATTTCATGCACCCATCTAGCATTCCATTGCTAAACTCTATAACCTCAGAGTCTGTTTGAGCTATGTTACTTGGTAAACCCTTTAATGCAACTAGTCCTTTTTCTGTTTGCATTGGAGTTGATAGTACCTCTGTCAACTCCCACTTGACTGGTTGGGGAATATGGAGTGTAATGGTGAAGATTAACTCATAACCACACCTAACCAATTCCATTTTGGCAAAATCCTTAATTACATCTCCAAAAGATGCTCCCAACGTATTCCCTAATGCCTGTAGAACCTCTTCTACCACCGCATCAGTTAACAACCGAGGAGACACGTGACCTGTCAATGCCATTAATATGACCTCACAAGCCCGCTGAACTTCCTTATCAAGTGACCCGATAATGGCTTCCAAATTATCCATTTTTTCATTCCACTGAACCTCCCAATTAACCTCCCCAATTTGCCTATTCAAATCAAGTGAAAGTTTCCTTACATGAGAGTCGAGCCGTGCAACCTCCTTAGTTGTTAAGTCAAGTGTATTGGCCATATCCTTTAACACAGTAAACTGCTGTGATAAATGATGTTTTATAGCCACCGTTTGAGCTCCTAAACGTTTAACCTCAGCCCCACTACGGTCATCTAAGAGTCCAAACATCGAATGAAGAAGTCTTCCAACCCCGTCAAATAGGCTTCTTTTCACCCGACTTTTACAATGTTGGCTCTCTTTAACTCCCGTTAAAACCTCTCTGAAACCTTTGGTCATAAACGCCAGTCTATGCCCGACTAAACGCATTCTAGCTTCTCCATGAGCTGAAGAGTTTTCTCTCTTGACGACGGTAGATATTACTTCTAGTGACGTCTTGAGCCGTTCCAGAGTCTCGGAAATGGGTCCTAGGTCCTGATATTGCACAACCTTCCAGTGGATATTCTCGGTGAGAACCTTCTCCTCTCTTCTAATAAGGGCTACCCCGGCCGAAGAAGAGGTGGATTGCTCTCCGCCTGACAAACCATCCACAGGCAGGCTCCCAGGATCAGCATGCACATCCCTCCCAACATGGTTCAATATCTGCAAGAAGCATAACATTTTAATTCCATGTTGGTAACCACCACGTCCTTTCCAACAAAATGTTTATGTAAAATACGTGTTGGTGTGTCATGTGGTCATATGTGATCATGTCTAGTTATGGTTAGTTCTACTATGGTCCCTCGTGCAACCGTGCATAATATCCGGGTCCATACTTTGTACGTCCGCTAGTACGTCTCCCATGCATAGGTACCCTACCCGCATGCTCAGAACTAACATTCCTCCCATGAGTTTCATTCATTCCATCATTCATTCTCCTTTCGCCCTCAGCGTTATTTGCAGAAGCATTGTTGGAATCTGTATTGTTTGTGATATCCATTCTCATCTTACAACAATTATTGGCTGTTCCTGGAATAGACTCTTTATTGAATTCATCCTCCACAATTACATCCGGTCCCTCATCCTCTTCCCATGAAGGTTGAGCTTCCGTCCTTTGCACCGTTTCGGCTCCATCGCCAACTGGTCTAGGATAATTCATAAGGTACTCCATTTCCCTTTCGTCTTCTTCCTCCGGACTGCCTTCAGGGATGATAGACTCCTCGTCTGGTCTCATCTCCGGATATGGTCTCCTAGCTCTTGGAGCTAGTGCTCTTGGTATGGTTGCTTCCAAAGCCACCTTCATATTTTCCAAATGGACTTCTCTAAACTCCCTAGTTTGCAAGTCTCTTAACTGATAGACATAGGGTTTTACCTCCTTGGTAACCCGGTATGGTCCTTCCCATTTGGGTGATAATTTTGTATCCCCTTTCTTTCTAATGGCTTTCACAAAAACTCTTGTGCCTTCCGTAGTGAAGTGTCCTTTGATTTCTTCAATCGAGTTCGACACTGTCTATCTGCTGCCCTTAGCAGATTGTCTCTCACATATTCATAGACTTCTTGAGATCTTCGGGTTCGTGTTGCCACGAAGTCCTCACTGGGTAGTCTATAACTTTGTGATGGGTCTTGTCCACCATTCCGCTGATGTTTTGGCATCCCTACCAAACATCGCATAGTATGGCGTATCTCCAATAGCACTATGATAGGCTGAATTCAAGGCTAACTGTGCCTCTGCTAAATACTGGTCCCAGTAGTGTTCTTTACCTTCCACTAGACCACGTAAGATGCTTAATACCTGCTGATTTGTCCTCTCACAGAGTCCATTTGATGCAGGGTGATATGCCACAATCTGACGATGATCATACCCTAAGGTCTTCGCCATGCATCTTAGAAGTTTATTCCTGAATTCCCTTCCTTGGTCAGTTAAGACTGTCTTTGGGACTCCATATTGCAGGAATATTGGATAAATACTCTTAGCTACTGCCTCTGCGGTTTTATCAGGGAGTGCTTCCACTACCGCAAATCTGGTGAGGAAATCCGTAACCACCAGTATGTACTTATTTCCCCCTTCCGTAAGGGGAAATGGTCCCATCAGGTCCATAGCTAGAGTCTGAAAAGGTTCCTCTGGTACTGGATACCTTCTTAAAGGAGTTAAGGGATGGCCTCTACCCTTAAACCTTTGACATGTAAGGCATTGTTGACAATACCTACTAATGTCTTTGTCCATTCCACGCCAAGTGAATAGTCTTTTAGCACGAAACTTGGTCCTTTCTTCTGCCCCATGGCCTCCCAGTGGTGCTAAGTGAACTAGTGCTAGGGCTTTAGGAACTAAGCTCCTAGGCACACAAAGTACTTCTTCGACTTCCCTCATCGAATTCCGGTGTTGAATCTGTTTGTAAAGTAACTCTTGGTCCATAAAGAAGTCCTTCACCTCCAAATTCGGGTCCACCTTCTTTCGATTGATTTCAGTCTTGTCCAGGAGATATCGGATTACAGGCCCATATAGAGGATCTTGTCTTTGCTCTCTGATCATTTCCTCTAATGACCACGGCGGTCCATCTTCCTCCTCGTCCTGTTCTTCCTCAATCTTCTCCCCTGATGATTCGACTGCCAGAATACAAACAATTTGACAATTCTCGGCTTCGTCGATAATCATTTGTGAGGTACGTTCCACCTCCTCGGCGTTGATTCCCTCAGGAACTTCAATCCGGGACAGAGCATCTGCCGCTGCTTAAGCTTCCCTGGATGGTACATAATTTTTGCCCCAAAGGATTGCGCAGTTAGAGCCCATCTCGTAACTCTCGCATTACCATCCTTCGCTTTGTGGAATAACCAATGAAGTGATCTGTTGTCTGACAGAACTACTACTTCTAATCCCCACACCAAGGGTTTAAACTTTTTTAAGGCCTCTATTATTGCTAGAGCCTCTTTCTCCATGGTGGTATACCGACTTTCAGCTGCCTTCAGCTGTCGGCTGTAGTATGCAACTGGGCAAAAATGGCCCTCATACCTTTGAGCAAGCACTGCACCAATAGCTCCTTGACTGGCGTCAGTGCTAAGATACCATGTTTTCCTGAAATCAGGTGCTTTGAGTACTGGTTCCGTAACCAAGTTCTCTCTAAGAATAGTAAAGGCTTTTTCCTTTCATCACCCCAGATGAAAGGATTCTTCTCTGAAGTTAACTTTGTTAGAGCGTTGGCTTTCTTGGCATATCCATCGACAAACCTTCGATAATAGCCACTTAACCCTAAGAATCTCCGTACCTCTTTACGGTTCTTGGGTCTTGGGAAATTGCGTACTGCCGCTAACTTGTCTAGTGCAGGCTTCACATTCCCATGTCCCACTCTATGTCCAAGAAGATTAACTTCCTTCTGGAATAGGTGTGATTTCTCAGGACTAGCCTTTAGTCCAGCTTGTATCAGTCTCTGCAAAGCCTCTGCCAATATGGGTAAATGAGTTTTGATATCCTCACTATATATTGCAATATCATCCAAAAATAATTGCAATCCCTTTCCAATTTGACCACTGAACACTCTGTTCATAAGTCTTTGAAACGTCCTTGGGGCGTTGGACAATCCAAAAGGCATTACATTATATTCATAATGTCCCAGGTGAGTAGAGAATGCCGATCTCTCCTTAGATTCCTCGTCTAGTGGCACCTGGTGATATCCACTTCTCAAATCCAGTGTGGAAAACCATTTACTTTGACTGACTTGATACAAGATGTCTTCAATTAGAGGTAAGGGATAAAATTCGGGTCTCGTTTTACCATTAAGAGCCCTGTAATCCACACACAACCTTGGATGTGAATTATCCTTCCTCTTTACTAGGACAATTGGAGCATTCCATTCGGATGAACTGACCCTTATATGACCTTGATCCATTAAGGCTTGGACCTCTGCCTCCACGGCTGGTCGTACTGCATAAGGAATAAACCTGGGTGGTATATAAACCCTTTGTTCATCGACTGTGTCTATCCGATGACTAACCAAGTTTGTTTTCCCCAGTGGCTCCTCCTTCAAGTTAAAGGCTACCTGAAAGTCCCGCAAAACCCTTTCTGCGTCTTTCCTCTGGCTTGGAGATAATACCCACTCATCTGCCTTTAACTCTTTCAGTAATTTCTGAAAGCGATCCTCATCTAAAGTTGGGTCCTGACCTGCTTTCACCTGTTGAGGGTCGATCTGAAGTGCCTGTTCCAATGGGTCATCCTCATCTTCATTGTCCGGTATTTCAGTTATTACAGCATTTACTGTTAATTTAGCCAATGATTTTTGTCTTTCCTTATGGCCCTTGTCCAAATTCCCACACAGTTCCACATCCGTATCTTCTATAGGAATGCCTGGGCTATCCTCCGTTTTTGGTGGATTAGTACTGGTACCCTTCCCCAGTTACAAGCTAAGACCTTCACCTGATCCTCTGCTGTGCATATAACAGGAATGATAACACAATCTTCCTGTAATGGATTTGCTTTTATCATTATTGGAGTTCCATCCTCCAATTTTCCACCTTTTCTTTTAAGACATCCAAGTAACACAGCTGCCTTACCTGGAGGTACAGTAATAGTTTCCAATGAAACCACTGTATATTCATGAGAGTTAATTTGATCCTCTGCCAAATCTTCCTTAGATTTCTTGCTCTGGTCCTCCAGACTCTCATTCACCTGGTGACTCCCTACCACTTTAGGTGATTGAACCGGTTTATGTCCCTCGTGGTTTACCATACCTTTCTGCAGGACTTTAGATCCTTGACAAATTCTCCATTTATCAAAATCTAGTATTAATTTATGCTCGTGCATTAAGGACGATCCAACAAGAACATCACAATCCCCAGGAAAGTTAATGATCTCGTCCTGAAACACATAGCACCTATGAGAGATTATTTTTCCTCCCATTTCGAAGGTCATTTGGGTCTCCCCTAGTGCCTTCACCGGTTCTCCTTCCAGTATTCCACTTACGAGCAGTTCACGTGGTACAAGCGGAGAAGGAAGGTTCCTTGGATCCTTGTGGTCCTTCTCTTTCACCTCCTCCTGCTCCCTGTACATGGAATACTTAACCAATGTTGGGCTCGCCCCTGAGTCCCAAACTGCAGTAAAAGACTTTTGACTATTAGGTACCTTAACCTCAGTCATCATGTATCTTGGAAGAGACGATGATAAGATAGGAATTATCAAGCGTCCTACTCCTTCCTGTACATCTTTGTCTTCTACATTCCTTCTGTTTAGTTGCCGCCCTCTTGGGACGGTGCTGAAGAGTTTTTTGACTCTTTAGCCGCTCCATAGCTTTTCTTTTGTGGACAATCTTTGACTATATGTCCACTTTCCTCACAGAAGAAACACTTAACTTTTGCCGGATTCTTAGGTTTTGTTCCAGTCGTTGGAAACTTCTGTTTAGGTTGAGCGCCTTGACCAACCTTAGATCTTCCCCTTGCTGGTAGATCCTGCTTGGAGCTCCAGCATCGATCCTTAGGATGTGAGTTGTTCCACCCATGAACATTACAGAAATATTTACTTGATTTCTGCCAAGAGATCTTCTTTGGAGGTTCCCTTGGTCTCTCCTCGGCCCACGTACGAGATTCTTGAAGAGCACTGTTCTCCGCTTGAGAACTAGAAATATCTGTCAATTCCCCGCGAATGTCAGAATTTCCTGACTCGGGATCCACGCTTGACGATAGTACCTCGTCACTTAAGTCGGCTACCGCGCCAACTCCGGTGTACACAGAGCCTAACAGGTCTCGTAGACCTGGCTCCCCCGCTATGACAAACGGATCTTCGTCGTCACTACTGTCCGTAGTAGCCGTGTCCCGTCTGCTACTGTCTTCCCCGGACATGCACAATTACGTTAACTGGTAGCACTGTGTTTTTCCAAGTTCGAGGAATACTTTCCCCTTTTAGTTTTATAGTTTCTTTTCTCTCTCTCACTTGAGCCAATGAGCTACACTCGCTCCCTCTCGTGCACTCATACTATGCTCTAGCGACCAATCACGTTCTCGCTCGCTCTTGTGACGTCACGTACTCACGCACATACGAACACAATTTCCACTTGGTGCTCGCCGTCTACAGAGCTGCTTCTCTGAGAAAGATTTCTTTAAAACTTTGTATTATATCGTTAACACTATTAATCCCTTACGCTGCCACCAACTATTACCTAGCCCCTATTTAGGGGTTGTTATACTACTTTTTGTATAAGTCACTGGATAATAGATTTATATTCCACTCTCTCAGGAGCGGGCTCAGTGTTATGGATATAATACTTCCTAGTTTTGCATATGACAATTATATCTCAATATAATTTCAATTGGTTACAATAAACACAACGTAAATTTACACTTTTAATGTAATTACTTACGTATACAGTGTTGGTTATGCTCGTCTCCTGACAAGCTGATAATTCCCCTTGGAATTGTTTATACTCGTCTAAAGGCGAGCTGATGATTCCCCTTGGAATCCGGAATTCAGTAATTATAACCAAAAAGCTAAATTCGCTTTGGATTAACCGTCACGGCGTCCACGCACGATTAAGGTTGAAACTGAACTGGGGCACGAGTGCCACACAGGCGCCCTGGCCTCTCCTGACCCTGCTGACCCAGCGCTGAGCATAGTGGTGCCGTTGTTTACAAGACCTGTAGATTATCACCTCTATGTTCCCGAGACACAGTGTCTATAGTGCCTTGTAAAACATTAAAGGCCTATCCCCTCCATGGGATCAACACCACACTCTGTAGCTTCAATGGAATGTGGAGCTCCCTTGAACTACCATTCCATCTACCATACAACCAGTGGAAAACCATTTCCATGGTGTATAATGGTCTCTTTGGGTCAGGATTACCTTTAAAATACTACTACTATAAGTCTGGCCGTTGACAATTAGACTAATATATATTTGACATTTTTTTCTATTCTGATACTGTATGTATAGTAAATAAGTCCATTTATTTATAACTGATACCTTTAAAAGACTGCCATTATATTTTGCAATACTGTATGAGGATCACTAGCTTTCAATGTAAAATAAAAATCACCATATATAGATTTATTATTGTTTTATTTTTCAACACTTTACAAATGAAAATACTCTGATGACTCTCAAGCATTTAATCTCTTTTCTATACAAGGGGAAACCATCGTTTGAGAAACAAATACAATGCAAATGCCCAGACACACATCATATGACATATACAGCTGCCTTATTCTTTCGATGACATTCTCGATGCTAGCCCCTACTTGAAGGTTTTATTTTCATTGCTATTTTTAGTTGACCTTTTCAAAATATTCAAGAGAGGCTTCTGGGTCAGGCTTGATGGTTGGGCTCTCTGGCTGCCAATTGGCTGGACATACTGGAAAAGAAAAGAAAAGAAAAGAAAAAAGTTATTAAGCCATTTCATTAGTCTCTATATCACTTTACATATAAGGAAGACATTAACTGTTTCTTAGTCTTCTACACATTTATTTTTCTAAGCATTACACCCATTACTTTTTATTGTACTGTTTTAGTTCTTTCTTCTGTCTAAGCAGGAAACTAAAACACTGTTATCAAGAGTTTTACAATTATCTAACAATCAATAAATATCACCAACAAATTAAGTATGCACTTATCATTTCTAGAATTCACAGTGAGCATATCAGACAATAATACAAAAGTAAAACAATACTTGATATTTTCCCTTAGAATGAACTTAAAGACCATAGGAGGAGTAAAATCCTTCACAAACAGACAGCATGAAGCATTTCCTGTAATCTAAATGCAACAAGTAACAAGAGGGTTGCATCTTCTCTTACCTTCACCATGCTCAGCCACAAACTGGAAGGCCTTTAACAATCTCAGGGTTTCTTCTACGGATCTTCCAACTGGCAAGTCATTTACACTCATGTGCTTCAAGACACCCTGGATTCAGGATCAATCAAGAAGAGGCCACGGAGAGCAATGCCTGCATCCTCAAGAAGAACGCCATAGTCTCTTGAGATGGTCTTGTTGAAATCAGCAAGCAGGGGGTATTTCAAGCCACCCAAACCTCCTTGCTAAAAATAGAAAACAAAAAAAATTAAGTCATAGCAGGTTGTACCAGGGGTCTAGGAGAAATTAGTTTCTAGAGAGGCCCCCTGTTTTGTTTGCTGAAAAAATAATTAATAAATATAAACATTAACTCCCTTCACTGAACTGAAAGAAATATTTCTTCTAACCTGCATAAAGCATGTACAGTCACACAGAAATAACAAAAGTAACAGGCTTCTTGCTGTTTAACATCATTTTAGTCTAAAATGACAAAAGAATACATCTTTACTGTCTAATGAACATACAGTCATATGTAATGGTTCCTTAGTAGCAGTATCATTTATCTTGTCATTCAAAAAAATAAATGCAACTGATTTCACTTCTCGATCTACTTTTGTAAATTTCCCTAGTCAGGCATCAATCTAGGCCCCCTCTCCATCAGAGGTGCAGGGAGGCTGTGAAAATGGACTCCCTTTTCTCATTAGGTAGACCACTAATTATGTAACAAAGCTATTTCCATAAAAGAGTAAAAATACATATGAAAAATATCATGTTACAATCAGAAACAAATGTTAAAAGTAACGAACCTTTCGGGGCATGTTATTCCATGCCAAGTGTGAGAAATGAGAATCGGTTGATACACCAATAACCTCACAATTAAGTTCCTTGAAGGCTTCAGTTTTTTCACTGAAGGCAATCAGTTCAGTAGGGCAAACAAATGTGCTGAAATGGAATAAAGTTTTATTATCCATAAGAGACAGGATAAACTAAGGAATGTTTCTTAAAGCTCACTCTTTGCAATAAGTAGTGTGTGGTGGTTTAAAATCTTAAGCTTTTGTTATATATAAGACTGCCCATGAATTCATTGAAAGTGTATGTATACTTTGAGCTAAAACATCATCTATTACGGTTAACTGTACTCAGGGTACTTCCCTCCTAGTAAGGTACAAACACTGATTCCTTAAGAGGATTTAAACCAAGTGTTTCATGACAATGCCACAATCTCTCTAAAATTGCATTATTTTATGGATATATTCTTTTGGATGATTTTTCAGTAACTATACATTTCAAATGTTCATAATATATAATAAACAACATGGGCTGATGTTACATAATACATAGTCGAATTATAGGTAGGCTGCCATTTCCCCTTATACCATCTATTATGGGTAACTGTACTCAGGGTACTTCCCTCCTAGTAAGTAATAGTTGGGATCCTAATCACTAATGAAACCCCAGAGGCTCAAACTCCCGGAAACTATTTAAGTACTTGGGTGCCTTAACTCCTTCAATCCGGATGACATGAACATCATATCACAAAAAAATTTGGCTTGAGGGGTGGGTGATATGTACATGCCTTCATGGGAAATTTTGGCTGTGGGTTTGGGTGACGTGAACTTCCTGTCATGCGTATTTCGGCTGGAGGCCAGGGTGACAGAAAAGACTTGCTATGAGTGCACATACCTCTTAAAGGGTGATTAAACTCATTTAACATTTATAAAGGGGCTTCTGCATAATAATTAATGATAAACAAGTGTGGAATGTGGCGTCCATGAGCCATGAATGGAGGAGCACCAGTTTCAGGGAGTACACCATTCCCATGCTCAAAAGCTAAAAACACCTATGCATAAAAGAGAAAATAACATTGTAAAGGGGAGGCATAGAGTCTTAACACTGCACATGAGTATTCGTGTGTGCCTGGCCTACAAGCCACTCGTCAGAGCAGCCACACATATAAGAGAGAGAGATGAAGTGAGGAAGAGAGAAACTAAGGGAAGAAGGGAGGGAGGGAGAGGGAGAGATATGGAGGAAAAGGGAGAGGGATAGAGGAGGAATGATGGAGAGAGAGAAGGGAGTGATGAGAGATGTGGAGAGAGAGAGAGAGAGACATGAGCCATGAATGGAGGGAGCAACCCAGTTTTCAGGGGTACACCATTCCCAGCTTTCAAAAAGCTAAAAAACACCTATGCATAAAAGAGAAAATAAACATTGTAAAGGGGAGGCATAGAGTAGAGTGAGAGAGAGAGAGGAGAGGAGGGAGAGAGAGGAGGAGGGGAGAGGAGGAGAGAGGAGGAGGAGGAGGGAGAGAGGAGGAGAGGAGGAGTGAGAGAGGAGAGGAGGAGGAGAGAAGAGGAGGAGGAGGAGGAGAGAGAGAGGAGGAGGAAGAGGAGATAGAGGAGGAGGAGGGAGAGAGACATGAGAGAGAGAGATGAGAGAGAGAGAGAGAGAGAGGAGGAGAGAAGAGAGCAGAAGGGAGGAGAGAGAGAGAAGGAGGAGGGGAGAGAGAGACAGGAGGACGGAGGAGAGAGAGAACAGGAGGAGGAGGAGGTGAGAGAGGAGGAGGAGAGGGAGAGAGATGAGGAGGAAGAGGAGAGAGAGAGAGGAGAGGAGGAGGAGAGGAGAGAGGAGAGAAGGAGGAGGAGGAGAGGAGAGAGAGAGGAGGAGGAGAGGAGGAGAGAGAGAGGAGAGAGAGGAGAGAGAGGAGAGAGGAGAGAGGAGGAGAGAGAGGGAGGGGAGAGAGAGGGAGAGAGGAGAGGAGGAGAGAGGAGAAGAGGAGGAGGAGAGGAGAGAGAGAGAGAGAGGAGGAGAGAGAGAGAGAGGAGGAGGAGGAGGAGAGGGAGAGGAGAGAGAGAGGAAGGAGGAGGAGAGGAGAGGAGAGAGGAGAGAGGAGGAGGAGGAGAGAGAGAGGAGAGAGAGGAGAGAGAGAGGAGGAGGAGAGAGAGGAGAGGAGGAGAGAGAGAGAGAGGGAGGAGGAGGGAGAGAGAGGAGGAGGAGGAGAGAGAGGAGAGAGAGGAGGAGAGGAGAGGAGAAGAGGAGGAGGAGGAGGAGGAGAGGAGGAGGAGGAGAGGAGGAGAGAGAGAGAGAGAGAGAGAGAGAGAGAGAGAGAGAGAGAGAGAGAGAGAGAGAGAGAGAGAGAGAGAGAGGAGAGAGAGAGAGAGAGAGAGAGAGAGAGAGAGAGAGAGAGATTCCATTTTGTACTTACAAGTCTAGAGGATAGAAGAAGAGCACAACATATTTGCCTTTGTAGTCCTCAAGAGAGATTTCCTTAAACTGTCCATTGACAACAGCCTGGCCCTTAAAACCCGGAGCTGGCTGAGTGACAGCAGCTGCAAGAGATCGTGTGGTGGTGGACAGGTGGCGCTGGAAGGCCCTTGCTGTGACAGTGCTGCGTAAGGCCTAGTGAACAAAGATTATATCACATGTGTATTAGAAGATTTTTCTTTGCATAAATATTCCATTAGTTTATTCAACCAGTTTTTTGGTCATGACTGGCATGGTCTTTCCCTAATTACTATAGCATGAACAGCATCCCATAGCCAATATAATGATGAAATAAGTATCTTGTCTTCAAAACCATTCTCAGAGGAAAACAGGATAGGTCTGTCAAACATTTTTTTGAAATAAATATGTAGAGTTTATATTAAATGAGGAAACTGTGTAATAGAGGGAAAAAGTGTCTAATGGCCATGAAAAATTCACTATAGATTACGAAAAATCTGCCTGCATTTTCCAGCAAATGTTTGCCAAAGTATTGTGTTCCACAACTTTCTTATTACCAATTTACAAAAGCAGTACTATAGATGAAAAAAGAATTTTCTAGTTTTACACTGCCATCCAATCTTGCAATTATCATTCCTTATTTCAATTATCAATGCTGTAATATGTATGAATCTCTTGTTATTTTCCTTCGCAAATGATATAAAGGAAAGTATTGGTAATGCTTACAGAGTGACCCTCTGCAAGTAAGTCCCTATTACTCAAGCCATTCCTGGGAAATCCATAAATATTGCCATATGAACCAAAAACCTTCCCATCCCAGGGGCTTCTACCCCAGACCCCTATCCAATTGCCGTATTTCTCTATCCAGGTTTCTACCCCTAGAACACCACCCAAATGCTGTGGACTTCCTCTCCCAGGGGCAATTGTCACGATTAGTTTTATATTTCTGATGTTATTTTTTGCCTCCAAAGATTTTTTCATGTATTAGTGAGTGCAGTATTGCTATTTTATTTTTCTGTAAATGTATACCAAAGTATTATGTGTTGCACAACTTAATTATGATCAACTTGCAAAGGTAATACCATAGATAAAGTGGTCCCAGTTTACGTCAAGGTAACCATTCCATACATTTTTTTTTTCACTCAAAGCCTGATTGTTATCTGCTGTAAATTTACCAAAATATATTACTGACATCTCTCTTTGCAATTTGCAGCACAGTATACACTACAATTTGAACACATGTTATTGAATGACTTTAGTCTTAACCCCAAAAGCTGTGGTTTCACTTTTCTCCAAAGTTACATATTAATGATCTGCTTCTCAACCCATCCAATAGACTTTTCACTCTTTGTATATATACGATTGGATGATATGCGAAACATACAGCATGGGGCAAGAACTTGTAAACACAAGTTACTCAAATAATAATCCACCGCAAATAAAGATCAGTAAACACCAATTAGTGTGATCTTCTCTTTATCTGTTAAACACTCAATGTGCTCACCACATGCCTAGCTCTCTTATCAGAAACCCCGTCTTCACTGCAATCAATCTCCTTGGAAACATCTCAAGAACTTCTGTTTATCAGCAACATCCCGTCGGTTCCTTTGAATACCGAAGGGTAATATCCCAATATTCCTATTTATCTATGTATGTCAACTGCTAATAGACACATAATTAGATCCAGAAGATGCTAAGTTACTTAAATATGTAAATCACTACCACGGAAACGCCCGTTTACATACGCTAGCAGCGAAATTCTTGAGGATGCCGGCCATGGTGTATGCGTTGTGTAATTTCTGAGCTCTGCTGAAGACTAACTGGACACTCATTTCCCGATTTGATTTTAGATACATGTAATTTGCCTTTTTGAGAAATGATGTTTCATTCATTATTTCTGTCTTGCGGTATAATAGTAGTTTTGTCCATATATGTATTATATTTAGAGGGTTTGCGTATGATAAGAAAAGTTTTGAAATTCTAAAACTATACTAGCTGGACGAAATGTTTTCATTAATCAAATATATGATTACTATATATAATAAAAGTACAGAAATTATATTCATGATCAAAATATACCATAGAAATAACAGAAATATTTATATAAGTGATCACTCCCTTCACAAAAAAAAAAGAAAAAAAGGAAACCGGGCCGGGACGGGAGAACAGCTGATTCGAGAACAACTTGTCAGCGAGGAAAGAGTCAACAGTAACACGTTAGTTATTCTTTTTCATCCTGTGCGTTTAAGGCTTCCCACAAATAAACTGATACTTTTATGCCGAGGTATTGAAGTGTCAGAGGTTTTTAATGCGTTTTCTGATTGTGTTTAATGGATTTCATACCATATTACATCATTGTGTGACACGGGGGGAATTCGAAGCTTTTTTTTTGTTTGTTTCATACCATACGTCTACAAAGATAATTTTGCATGATATTGTTTGTCTTTAGGATGTAAGTGCAATGCTTTGTTTAAAGGACATAAGATGTTTCAGTGTGTTATAGAATTGCCTAATGATTCAATCAACACAATATGGAAATTGGTGTTATTTTGGAATGCAGCATTAATGGAATATTAGTATATATTGCAGTTGTTATGTAACTGATTGTAAGAATGTTTAATAAGGCATCTATGCATAGTAGTCACATTACCAAATACTACAAGAATGGTTCCCAAACATCCATTCTCCAGTATTCACTATTAAATGACCACCCCCTGGTCCCTGACTGTTGGGAAGGGCATAGAATATGGAAGGATAATTAAGGGGGAAAATTAGAATTTAACATGTATGGAGATATACGTGGATTGTTAACTTATTATCTATAACAAGGGGTTGCATCTGTTCCTTCGACCTTCCAAATCCTCCACATAAACTTGACAGAATTAAATCTCACAGTTTGTGTGCCCTTCCTTGCGATTAGGGGTGTGCTCCATTCTGCTAGGTATTTGTGGACAATGTTTGTTTTTCTTTAAAGGATGGGGGTTTGGGTGTGGTAGCCTGTCCCAAGGATGTGGTAGAAATGGCTGCTCCCTGCAGTAAATGATTAACTGACAGTCGTTATTTATTTCAATGCGTGCTATTCCTTTCCCCCACATTTCACTCTACAGTTTCTTAGTTATATTTCATTCCCCTTCATATTCTGGCGTTTCTTATTAGGGGATTTTTTTATGCATTTATTCCTTTATATATAAATAAAGCAAGGGAAGAGTAATATGTTATTTAGCAACATAGGTGTATTTTGTATATTTAAAGGGAAGCAAATCTCATATGCTTTTGTTCAAATAATTTATAGAATAATATTGGTGGCCGAACCAGCTGCCACACTTGATCAGTCATTTCACTGTTTATATTGTCTTGCTACTAATATAAATTGTTAATTGATATTTTCTTCACTTATGCTTATCCATGCTGCATTCCTATAAACCACAATATTAACTATTTCTGCTAGATTTTTTATATTGTTTTATTTTTCCTATAGTTTTTCTATATTTATGGTTTGATTTTGAATCAGATACACAGGCATAGCTCATGATTTAACTCTACTTTATGCATAAGTCGATGGGACATATATGTTTTGATAGATAAATTAAGTAAGTTTTACAGTAATTGAGAAAAACATAAAAGGCCTGCAAACTAAAGGTATTTTTAAATATTCATGCAAATTATACACCATTTACTTTTAAAAATAGTTACTTATGGAATAGAAGCCTATGAAGGGTCTGACAAAGGCCAACAAATCTCCACTACCTATATTCTTGCAAGATAGAACTTAAGATTGCTTCCATGTTTGATAATAAATCACAGTGGAGGTCAACAGATCTTATCTAGCCAGTTTATATTTATAAAATGGGGGACTATTGGCCTTCTCTGGAGGGCCAATAGGTGTATTAGCAGGTGTATTGTAACACATCGAGTGGTAACTGGATTAATGCAGGACATCTTAGAGGACAACATAATTATCTTATGGCACTGATTGGCTGATGCACAATATGAATTCTTTGTTGAAAAATTATTGGATACATGTGTATGTATGTAGATACTCAAGATGAAATTCATTACTTTGTTAATCATTATTATCCTTATTAGTATTATCATCATTAGTATTTCATTATTATTTATTTATATCATTAGTATTATTGATATTGTCATCATTATTATCATGTACTTTGATGTGTAAGTATCATAATGTTACTGACTTTTTCTTCAGCTGTTGATCAAAATGGCATCTCTAGAGGACTGGGCATGCGCTGAACTGGACAAGCTTGGCATTCCTGATGCAGGGGACATTGTACGCTACCTCCAGCCCATTGAGGATCCTGCAGAAGTGGAGGACTACTTGGCTTCCATGTTGGACAAGAGTAATAATTCACACCAGAAATTCATTAAAGAATTCTTGAGAAAGCAAGAGGAAGGCAAGTCGGCCATTGATTCCAGGTTCTACCGCAAGTCCACTGTGGAAGAAGACTTTGGATATAAGATTAATGATGGGAAAAAGAAACAGAAGAATAATAAGGAGAATGGTGGGGGTGGGAATAGTAACAAAGATAATTCATCTAATGCCAATTCTAAATCTAATGCACCTGCTCCATCATCATCAGCAGCAGTAGGGGCAGTGGGGAAGAAAAAGTCTAAGTTTGTGTCATTGTATTCAGATGAAGGGCAAAACAGGGATGTCATCCTTTTACAAGGCAGACATAGATGTGACTGCCAAGCAAGCAAGCACAAACTGATCAACAATTGCCTGAAGTGTGGCCGCATAATCTGTGAACAAGAGGGCTCAGGTCCATGCCCGTTTTGTGGTAATCTTGTGACAACAAGGGAGGAAAAGGAGATTCTGAATAGAGGCTCACGCAAGTCAGAAGCTCTTCAGAAAAAATTGCTTAGTGATAGAAATGCTGTTGTCAAGGGACAGTCGGCAGATCATCAAAAGGCCATAGATCATAAAAATCGCTTGCTAGAATTTGATCGTACAAGTGAAAAGAGAACAAAGGTTTATGATGATGAAAATGATTACTTCAATTTGAATTCTAGGTGGCTCAACCAAGAAGATAAAATGAAACTTCAGAAGAGAGAAGAAGAATTAAGGAGTAAAAGGTTTGACAGAAAAAATCAGAAGGTGACAATCGACTTGTTTGGCCGCAAGATTGTTGCTGAGAAAAATAATGCTGGTCTGTATGACCCAGAGGATCCAGTAATAAAGGAGATTCTTGAAGGTCGAACTCAAGACATATTTTCTGCCCCGGACAGGGAAGAATCAGGACCGAAAATTGAAGTGAGTCGGCCAGAATACACCAGCTCAGGTATCACTGGTAACAAGAAACAGAAAGGTGGCAAATTCCAAACTGCCGGTAACAGTCTACGTGTGCAGGACAGAGAGCTTTTAGAGATGACTGACGAGGGAAAGTGCCTGAGCATGCACCAACCCTGGGCATCCCTCTTGGTGGCAGGAATCAAAGTTCATGAAGGACGGATGTGGTACTCCTCCCACAGGGGAAGGTTATGGATTGCTGCTGCGGCCAAGGTCCCAACTCCCGAAGAAATCCAACAGTTGGAGCATATGTACCGCGTTCTCCTAAAGGATGAATATTTACAATTTCCCAAGCATTATCCAACGGGATGTCTATTAGGGTGTGTTGACGTTGTTGATGTGCTTCCACAAGAGGAATATCGAACACAGTTTCCAGAAGGGGAGAGTGATAGTCCATATGTATTTGTTTGTGAGAGTCCTCAGGAAATGATCTTGAAATTCCCCATAAAAGGAGACCACAAAATATACAAGCTAGACCCAAAGATTCATCAAGCAGCAAAGAAAGCCCTTCGACCCAGAGAAGAATAGATTTCAGTGATAGGTATTAGTGGGAATATATATATATTTTTTTCATGAGAAGTCAACTGATGTGTTGTTATAGATATTTTTGTTATTATTAGTATACTTTTTGTATCACCATTATTAGTAGTGTTCATTTATTATTATTATTTTATGATTGGTTTA